AATGTACTTCCAACTCAAATGAACTATTATAATGGAGGCATGGCGTTTATTTTTGCGCATCAAAATAACCAAAACAAACAAACACACAAACAAAAAACATTCAGGATGCATTGATTAATTATATATACACCTAAAGAACAACAATCTGTGCTGTACAAACAGTACATTTTGATTTCCCACAGACTATAAACTATATGCCTTTCAAAGAGCCTGCTCTGTCAGATGGGCCCAGTCTATTGTGATTGGTGGAACCTCTTACAGTACTTTAGCTCAGTTTTTACACACACACACACACACACACACACACACACACATATATATATATATATATATATATATATATATATATATATATATATATATATATATATATATATGTGCCTTTTTTCTAGCTCTGTCTCAGCTATATATATATATATATATATATATATTACAGTTGAAGTCAGAAATATTAGCCTAATATTCTAATATTAATATTAGAAATATATTTTAGTTTTTTTCTTTTAAAAATATTTCCTAAATTATGTTTAAATTTTCACAGTATGCCTGATAATATTTTTTTCTATTGGAGAAAGTTTTATTTGTTTTATTTTGGCTAGAATAAAAGTTTTTAATTTTTTAAACACCATTTTAAGATTAAAATTATTAGCCCCTTTAAGCTATATATTTTTTCGATAGTCTACAGTACAAACCATCGTTATACAATAACTTGCCTAATTACCCTAACCTGCATAGTTAACCAAATTAACTTAGTTAAGCCTTCAAATAGTTGTAAAGACGTGTCTTGAAAAATGGCCGAGAAAAATGCTCATTGTAGAAGAGAACTCCAGATGGCACTTAGAGGTTTTTGCATTTGAACTCTTCATATCAACTCAAGCTTGAGTTCGGGAATGTACATTCTCTTTTGTAACACAGAAAACAGTGCCTTTTTTCTAGCTCTGTCTCAGCTAGAACTACAATGTCAAAGGCTATAATTATTATTATAATTTGTTACATATCTGCAAAGGTTTGAACAAAATAGTAATTCCTGACAGCTCGGATCTGGCAGTTCAGAACCAGATCTTCCTTTTGGGAGACAGATGTTTCATGCACTTATTGTACTCTTTAAAACAGCTAAATTACACAATAAAATTAGGGTAATATCCGAAAAAGATAGGTGCACTTTAATTTTCACTTCCATTATGTTAGCCACAGAAATTCAGTTGATTTCAGTTGCTAAGTGTGACAGTTTGGAGACATTATGCTGAAAAGTGATGGATATTAAGTGTTAAGAGGAGTGAAATGTTGGGTATTTAATTAGTGTATCGTTTATTTATTGCTGTTTATAAACTGAATTTCATGGTAATTTTAAACACCAAACATGGCTTCGTATACTGCAAAAGCTAAACCCTAAACTTTAAAGCCCTCACTTTGCTTAAAGTATATTAAATGTCAAGTTATTTACATTATCTGTTAATAGTTTGGGGCATCCGTATAAAAAGAGTCTAGGTATTATTTTTAAAAGGTATAGTAGCATCCACAGTTCATTACCAAAAAATGTTTTAGATAAGTAACACACGGGTCAATTCTCAGGCCATTTTCTTCAACCTGTTATAAACATGTTTGCAGATGAAGTGATTACCCAGTAGCTCAGCTTTAAGCTCATCTGGCGATCTCAGTTTAATAAGCAGGATGCGAGACTGATTAAAGCAGAAGCTCACTTGGCTCAAACACTTTGTAACTGCTCAGAGAACAAAATGCGCCACACTATCACACATTATTATGTAGCTTTAAGGTGAAAGCTGAGGGATGCTTTTGTACAAATGTGAAGAATGTTTATATACAGTAAAGTTGTTAATAATTGCTGTTGTGCAGTAGGGGTCTGAAAATGAGAAATATTGGCTATTTGTATTTATAATGGATTTGATATGGTTGCATTTCTGTGCATATACATGATGTGAAAACTAAATCTGAATTCTAATACAGTGCAGTGCTATTTAATCAAGTAAATCAACATCCTGCACTCATAAAACAATCCAAAAGTTCAATGTTGCCTTAAACATTTTCAGCTTCATATCAATACAATGTCTGTCTAATAAGGCTCGGCTGTGTAAAAAATTAAGCAATCAAATAAATTAAAAATGATCGGATAAATAAATAAAGCAACAAAATATTTGATGCCAACCTCAAGAGGTCAAACTAAATATTGTATGAGAAAGTGAATGCTGGAAGAACTTCAGTTAATAAAAATGTGAATAAATAATAAATTAATTAATAATTTAAATCTATCTGTACTAGAATGAATGTAAATCCAGATGATTATGAGAAAATAATGTTTGTTTTTTTTTGGCCAAAGGCTCAATCAGAATTTTAAAATAGGCAATATGTTTAATACTAACTGCTTGTTATTGCAGTTTAAATTTACGTTAGAGCATAGTTTATCTTACATGAAGTATGACTTGGTTCTTCTTACAATAAAATGCACAGAATGTGTGCCTCTAAAGCGGGGTGCCCAAACTTTTTCTTATGATGGGCCAAAAACCACACTTTTTTATGATTGTGTCTTGACATTTTATCCTACCCATCAGATTATGATACCGATATCGTATTTGAATGGTTCTGAGGTTGAAGTAAGGGATTAGATAGGCTAGGGCGATATTACAGCTTCATATCATGCGACTCCACATTAAAATTTACACTGGTTGCAAAATCTGATGGGTAGCATATTGCACCATCAAAATGTGCTACCTACTTTTTGAATGGGAGGTAGGACAATCTGACAAGGTAGGACAAATCGGCAAAATAGTGGATCAAAAAACACCAAACTGTATTACATTATAGTTTCGATGAGTAGTTCCTTATTTATTGCTAAAATATTGCTTTAAACTATATTAATTAATACAGTACTCATTCATTCATTTTCTTTTCGGCTTAGTCTCTTTATAAATCAGGGTTCGCCACAGCTGAATGAACCGCCAACTTATCCAGCATATGCTTTACACATGCAGCGAATGCCTTCCAGCTGCAACCCATCACTGGGAAACACCCATACACTCCCATTTACACGCATACACAATGGACAATTTAGCCTACCCTATTCACCTATAGTGCATCTGTTTGGACTGTGGGGTAAACCGGAACACCCGGAGGAATCCCATGCGAACACGGAAAGAACATGCAAACTCCACACAGAAATGCCAACTGACCCAGTCGAGGCTCAAACCAGCGACCTTCTGCTGTGAGGTGATATCGTCAACCACTGCGCCACCGCAACGCCTTAACCAATGCAGTACATTTAAAAAAAATGTGCTTAAAAAAACAAAAACAACCCCATCATTAATACAACAGAGTTCAGTGCTGAATAAACTAAGCTGCACCTACCTTTGCCTTGATTTGCTCGTTGATGTCTTGTGCATTGCCATCTATCCATCGAGTGACAATATTTACACATTATAAAATCAGATTCATTTAGAAAACAACTCAAATATAAAATGTATTTGAGCATGTTTCCAAAAAATACAAATTTGTGCATCTCCTTACTTTCGTGAGCAGCCTAGATGCCGTTGTAGATGGTGTATTCTGGGAAATTTTCCAACCCCTTGGTTTCGAGTGTGATCCTGAAAAATCTCAATTTCAAGGGCTATCTAGCCCTTCACATTAGCCCTACGCCTTCAAGCTACAGTAAAGAGAACTGGGACACCCCAAACCCTTCACGTGAACACGCAAAATGAGGGGTAGAGCTAAGGGTTAGAATTGAGATTGGGACTTAGGGTCACTGATAAAATGTAATAGTAAATGAATTAGATTTACTGTATCTTTATATTTTCTGTTCTCTTATTAATCTTAGTAATTTAGTATATACTTAGTAATTTATTAGTATGACAAACAGACAAAAGTAATACAGTTTTTCTCAATTGCTTTGATGCAGCCGTCAACTGAAACTCCACCTTTTTCAAAACAGTTAACACGCAGGCCTAAACAGCGGCACTCATGGTCAAAATGACACATTTTGCTTGCAAAAGGCACATGCCGTATCAAAACATTTAAAATATGCAACAAAAGCTAGTTTTACCTTCAAACAACACAACTTGCAAACAAGTATATGAGCTCTTTCAATTAATCATTACACAATTTACAACAAAATACAAAATACAGAACTCAGTGCACCACCATTGCTTGTCATTGTAGCCTATTGCCATTTGTTGTCTTTCTATTTGGGCTGTCAAATTTGCCTTTTTGCAAAGAATTGAATCCAGAATAAGAAATGCTTTGATTACATTTATATTGAATTCATGACAATTTTCAAACTGTGGCTGAAAAATGAAATACTGTAAAAACAGACAAAAGGAATAAAATACTGTAAATATTAGAGAAAACACATGTAAACCAATATACGGTCAAATCTATTGGGAGTATAAGACATAGCCACTATTGACCTCCTCCATCCATGCTGTCACAGAACAACACAGACCTTCCACCGTTTTATAAGGTTTGCAGACTGATTGCTTTTTGAAGATTTGTGTGAAGTAGTGTCAAACCGGTGCTTCACTGAATTCATATTGATGTTGGTAGTTTCTAATAGTTAGGAATAGATGGTTTCTGTTTGGTAACCATAACAAAAACAATGGAGTTAGGACTGCTTGAATGACATCCGTGTTAACTGTTTTGAAAAATGGTGGGGAAAATGTGTCAACTCAATGAGAAAGGGTTTACACATTTGCAAGTGTTCTGCTTTGCTGGGATAGTTATAATGAAAATAAAGTGGAACCTAGTTTCTTTAACCAGGTCAAAGCAAACAAGAAAAACTGTATAGTGTGTCTAAAATAATATGCATACAAATTCTGATGCCGTCACCATTTTCACAAAATATCCACGAAATCGGAATCATTTTCAGAAACATGCACTTTGCAAATCATTTCCAGAAGTAGCCAAAATAGCTGCTGTACAAATGAATGTCCCCTTAATCAATTATACTAGTGAATGTGTCTCTCGCTAACCTTTCCCATGTGGTTTCTCTACAGGCTATATAATGTTTCGGGGTCTGTGAGTGAATATTACAGAGTAGATGAAACGGATGACATCCCCTTCATCTGCTCCACCAACCGGGAGAACGGGATGCTGCGCTGCTCCAATGTCCCGAAACGCAGAGTCGCAGGAGCCGATTGTGAACTCACTGCTGATAATGTCACAGAGCTTGTTTTCAAAGAGGCTCCTCATCACGGATGTGTGAACTGGAACTTGTATTACAACACCTGCAATGCCAGCGAACACAATCCACATAATGGAGCCATTAACTTTGACAACATTGGATATGCTTGGATTGCAATCTTTCAGGTTTGTTACAGTGGTTTTTGAAATGGCTATAAAGATTAAAGAGTGTTGAATGAGTTTATGTGGAATAATATATATATATATATATATATATATATATATATATATATATATATATATATATATTTATAAAGCTATGAATGAATTAAGAGACCGCTTGAAAATTCTCAGTTCCTCTTGATTAACTGGGTTTATTGAGTATGGTTTATTATAGTTAATTAATTATAAAAACATTGGTATTGTTTTGTTTCAAAGGGAATAGAAACGTCTAAATGAAAATAACTCATTGCACCTTTTTTGTTAGTATAGTTATGTATTCTGTTTTGTTTTTTATTCTGTAAACTACTTTTGGTTGCAACACAAGCTGATTGTGAATATTTAGCCCTGTATACATTTCTGGAGAGCGTAAATTATGTAGCCAGAGGTACGTACGTCTTCAAAACGAACAATATTGGGTGGTATGAAGCCGCTGCCGACTTCTGTTTCTTTTTTGCACTACTGGCTGACCGCTTACTTTGGTACAGTCGGCATGCTGTTACCAGTTGCCCAGTGTACGTCGGCGAACTTGAGATGCAGTTGGGGGCGGACTTAACCAATAAGCGAGATAAGCAGCTGTTTAGAGCCCCGGGGATTTAAAGGGCCCCTACCAATGCAAAGAAGCTTAAATGAATCTATAATCTATATCTAATAATCTAATCTATTATAAATATGTTGCAAAATCTGTCTATAACTGTAAAGATTTTAATGTTATTTTTTCAAAACTGGGGGACCCATGAATAGTGGAATGTAATAGTGTACTGTACATGCAAATATTAAAATCTAATCACAAATATGGCTAATTACCTGTACATAGTTTATAAGCTTGCTTTTTATTTTTATTTACACGTAAAATATATTTTTAACATGCACTTTATTTACAAAAAACAAAACAAAAAACAACTACAGAGTAAAAAAAATATATATAAATAGAGAATGTTTTGAGTTTCAATGCTAATGCCCCATACCTGGGTCAATTGGTGCTTTTGAAAACACTATCGGTTGGGTTTAGGGAATGCGGTGGGCAGGTCAGTCTGTGCTTTTGAAAACACTATCGGTTGGGTTTAGGGAAAGCGGTGGGCAGGTCAGTCTGTGCTTTTGAAAACACTATCGGTTGGGTTTAGGGAAGGTGATGGGAAGGTCAGTCGGTGCTTTTGAAAACTATCGGTTGGGTTTAGGGAAGGTGATGGGAAGGTCAGTCGGTGCTTTTGAAAACATTATCGGTTGGGTTTAGGGAATGTGGTGGGCAGGTCAGTCTGTGCTTATGAAAACTCTATCGGTTGGGTTTAGGGAAGGTGATGGGAAGGTCAGTCGGTACTTTTGAAAACACTATCGGTTGGGTTTTGCGAAAACGGTGGGAATGTCAGTCGGTGCTTTTGAAAACACTATCGGTTGGGTTTTGCGAAAGCTGTGGGAATGTCAGTCGGTGCTTTTGAAAACACTATCGGTTGGGTTTTGCGAAATCGGTGGGAATGTCAGTCTGTGCTTTTGAAAACACTATCGGTTGGGTTTTGCGAAAGCGGTGGGAATGTCAGTCGGTGCTATTGAAAACACTATCGGTTGGGTTTTGCGAAAACGGTGGGAATGTCAGTCGGTGCTTTTGAAAACACTATCTGTTGGGTTTTGCGAAAGCGGTGGGAATGTCAGTCTGTGCTTTTGAAAACACTTGTTTGGTTTAGGGAAGAAGAGGGTAGGTCAGTCGATCAGTCAGTCAGTCAATCGACAGCGGCCTCTGGTGGATTTATTTTTTAAAATAAATTAATAATGGGATAACGAAAGCAATACTTGTTATTATTTATTCTGACTACTTGTAATTTTCTGAAAATATTGAAATATTTTTATTTGAAAGGTACACAAAAATGTTATCGATCAGACAATAGGGTATATGCAGAAGTATGCAGAAGGACTTTTAGTTTGTCAGTAACCTGGGTCAAGCACTTCCAGTGAACTGTATGCCATTACAAAATTGGCGTGTTTAAGGTCTGTTTTCTTTAAAAATCTCCACTGGCTGAGTGATATCTGATATAAAGTGGGTTTTAGATTGTCCAAGAAGCACTGTTTTAAATAAAAAAAATTTCCCACCATGTCTTCAAAATATGAACATTTATTTTACCCCAGTATAGTCAATGAAGTTTCTGCGCTAGCCTGCTGATCCTGACAGGTGCATGCGAGCTTTTCATCTTGTTTTACACGAATGCCAAAGTCTGATCAAATTAACTGATCGTATTTTGACTGCATTACAACATAACTGCTGTAAAAGAAACCGTATAAAATGGAAAAAAGTCACATTAACCGTTCACCGGATGTTTATCAGTATGGGAAGAAACACTAGCTCTGCATATACGCTATTATGAAATAAAGTCTCAGAAAAGTGGTCTTTTTATTTGTTTTCTATAGCTGTATACTGCATATGCAGTCATCAATATTTTTTTTATAGCAAGACCGTTCGTTCAAGAATTCTTACGTATCTATAGTTGGATGGATGCATGTTAGAGATCTTCTCCAAGTCGTTCATTAAAATTTTTGCTGAGTGTATATTCAGTCTGGCAGGCGGTGTTATTTTTTTATCCTTATATATCCTTTGGCGCAGAGAGACACTTACTTTCAGAGCTAGAAAATGAAGTGAATGGTTGCCAGGGGCTACAGAGAGAGTGAATCCTCTTACATCAATAACCGACTCACCTGTCCAGGAAATCAAGTTTTATCATGTTCAGTTCTAATCTAAACTTTGGGACGACCATATTTATCATATTCTGTAGTAATCTGATTGGGAATGTGCATGAGCATTTATCAGGTTGCTGAGTAATCAGATTGACCACAGCATGACGTTTATCATTTTCCTGACCTAGTTTTGGGAAACCGACGAACAATGTCTGAAGATGTCCTTTGTTTTTGGCACTTTATTGAAAGGCTTTATGTTGCTTGTGTGATGAATGTCGTAGACTTTATGATGGTGTTTGTTTCTCCTCAGAAACAGGCTTAATCCACGGTGTTTTGCTATTTGTACGCATTGTTTTGAGAAATGCTTTTACGGTTAAGCAAATTTCAATTCGGATCTTAGAAATGTACCAAAGCGACTGAGAAAAACTTCAAACTGTCAAATAGTTTATTATGGTTCGTGGCAAGAAAGCAGACCCAGTTGCAACAATAAACAAATCAAAAGGTGTTTATTGACAGAGTTAAGCACAAGTAGACAGACAAGATTCAATCAGTTGGGGCAATGACACACAGGGAAGCCAGCGCCAGGGACAAGACAGCATCAGAAACAACAGCAATCCAGGAGTAAGAGCAACAGTGGACAAATACAGTGCTAGATACTAAGCGCCCTATCATACAACCGGCGCAATATGGCGTAAGGCGCAGCGCAGTAGTCTTTTGGTAGTTTCAGCTTGGTGCAAGAGTCGTTTTGAGGCGTTGCGCTACGCTGTTTAAATAGCAAATGCATTAGCGCTCATTTGTGCGCCCATAGGCGTTCTGGTCTAAAAAGGGAAGGCGTTCTGAGGCGGACCGCTGGCGCGTTGCTATTTTGAGAAACTATAATAGATTTTTCATTAGACCAAAACTAACCCGGACTAAACTCCGGTGCAGAGTTGCGCCTCGCTTACGCACTGCTTAATACGCACAAGAGAGCAATAGGCAAATATCTTTACATATGAAAAAAAATAAATATTAAGGATATATATAGGATATAATAAGAATAGATATAGGATATAAATATAAAAGATTAAATATTACAAAACATATTATTTTCTAGCCTACATAAATATGAAAAACCACTGCTTTTAAGTCTTCTTCATCTCGGGAGGCTTTTTCAGTTCATTCATAACAATTTGCTTTTGTATAATGTTATTATTATTAGCAGTATTATTTATTATATCCATATTTATATTTGTTTTATTAAAAACAAGCTTAGATTTGCCCACCTGTCAGGTTTAAGACCATATGGGGCATGGCAGGTGTATTTCGAAATAACTCAGTATTTTGACCACACTTGGTCATTATTGTTCATTTATTCGTTTGCTAGAAATTAGAACTGAATTTAGAAATAGTTTTGAAACAAATCTTTGCGCTTAACAAATGAAATTAATTATTTATAGACTAATTGATGTCTGTGCGTAAAGGTTTCCCTATCCAAGAGAGAATGTCAAAGTAGTTCCATTATCTCTCATTCTCACGCAGTAGATGCTCTGTTTAACTGTTTTCTGTTAAAAAACTGTCAACTGTTTGCTTGTGAAATGCTCATTTTTTCCACTTAGACTTACTTTGCGTCCTGTAAATAGCGAATGTGCTCTTGGCGCGACGCAGCTGGATCTTAAAGGGAATGGGAGATGAGACTCTGATTGGTTTATTCTCAAAACACACCTATAACTCATTAAGAAAATAAACTCAACCCTTTTAGCCCATACGCCGCGGCGCAAAGCGCATTTTCCCGTCCGTAAATTAGCAAAAATGCGTTCTGACACGCCCTGAAAGCGTTTGCGCCGTGCGTCAAAATAGAGCCCTATGAAGCATAAACTCCAGACTGCCAGACCAGGGAAGTCAAGACACGAGATAGGACTGAAACTATAAAATAAAAACTGAAAAAAAAAAAAAGTGAACAATAATGGTTATAAGGATTGAAGCAAGACAAAGATTAGAACACAAAATGAAGTAAACACTAGGAATAAACAAAAAAAAAGTTGTAACTACAAACTCAATAGACAGACAAGAGAAAATGACAAAATGCTAGGTAAGGATACAAGGCTAGGATACAAGATACAAGATAAGCACAGACAAGTGCTGCATCAGAAATCACTTTTGGGGGCTTAATCCCCTGATAGATTACCTAAAGCCCCTGATCTTTTTGAATATGTTGCACTTAAAAATAGGTTGTATAACATTTATTTTATTATCCAAGTACTTAAAATTACCACATATGTCAAGCTCATTCCACTTAACGGAGCTTTTTTTCCGGGTATTTAAATAGTCACCTGTTTAGCAGTACCTGTTTCTACCAGCAGGGGGAAGTGGGACTGCTGTCACATGGCAAGTGTTAAAAAAATTCCCTCCACTTCACTGTCATCATTAATTTATTATTTTGAGATGAAGTTGATGAGGTAATAATACTGCTGAAGCTTAATATTTGTTTTTACAGTTTTAAATGTTTGTGGTATTGGTAAAATAAAAAACTAATCAATGAAATTTGCATCACATTAATATAAATACATGCAAACTATTCAGAAAAACATAAATTGTACTAGCTTTCTAGATATGATATAGATTTCTTGACATATTTATCTAGATATGATATAGCCAGTCACATCTGTTTCATTTAAATCGCAGTGAGTTCATGCAGCTTATTATTTTACAGCTATATTCTACTGTATTATGCTATGTCAGTTAGCATCTGATTATAAATCAACTTTAATCTTATGAAAATACCTAAGATGACTGGAAGATCACATATAGACAATTTATTGTATTATTAATGACCAGTTAAAGCCTTTTTATCTTTATTCAAATCTTATTTTCTATTCAATCAACTAAAGCAATAGCTGGGTGCCTTCATCCATATTAGGCATTTCCTGGAATGTTTTAGTATTTCTGTGAGGCATATATGAAACTTCTACTCAAGAGCACCCAGTACGAATGAAACAGGAATTACATGCATTTAAAAGTGCCACAATGTCCACATCACCCTATATTGATAAAAACTGGAAAAAAATAGGGGGGTGGGGGGTGGTTTGCTAAGCCCCTTTGAGCTAAGCCCCTTATCCCTTTCGACCCTAGCAGTGCTCATGTTCATGGCAAAATGGCAGATGTAGTTGTGTACACTGAAAAAAAACGATGTCTGCAAAATTGTTGCAAACAATCTATATGTGTTCAATTTAAATAAACTAATTAAATTCAGTAATGTTCAACTTAATTTCATTGTTTAATTTCAGCCTAAATAAATTGTTTACAACCACTTAACTTAAATACATTTAGTTCATCCAAGGAATCATTATTGAATATTTTTTTTCAGTGTATGTCTGAGTTTCTTTCATACTACTCACATCTTCATATTGTATAGATCATTCTTTTCTAACAGTCAAGTAATAAATAGGGTATATGCCGAGCCAGTGCTGTTCCCATGCTGATACACTTCCGGTGACCTGTTATTGTGAACTTTTTCCCATTTTATACGGTTCCTTATACAGCATCGATGTTGTGATGTCATTAAAATACATTCAGTTATATAAACTTTAGCATTTATTTAGTTGTTCAAGCGTAAAACGAGAGAAAAAGCTGTTTACTTACACGCGCCCGTCAGAATCGGCAGGCTAACGCATAAGCTCCATTGAATATACTGGGGTAAAATAAATGCTCATATTATAAACATATGGCGGGGAAAATGTAATTTAATGCAGTGCTTCTTGTACAATCTGAGACCCACTTTAAATCGGATATCACTCAGCTGGTGGAGATCGCTGATTTTTAAAGAAAACAGACCTTAAACTAGTGATGTGACGTTGTGCGCCGAGGCTTCGAAGCATGTATCAAAAAACGATACATCTCGCAGTGAAGCAGTGTACCGGAGCTTGATTCGTTTTGCCATCATCACGTGATCAGTGACGTCCGAAGCTTCATTTTCGCCTTTACCCACGTGACTGCTTCGAATTTTGATTCAAAGGTTTAAACACCCTCATAGTAAAGTGTATAGCGAGAGAATTGGCGTCTATTACATACATTTGTTTCAAAGCACTGCACCAGTCCCGCACACCAGTAATTAAACTAAACTACAATAGTATTTTTTAGTAAAAAGGTTTTGAACAATACTAAAGTGTATTAGCGTATTTTTTATGACTATCTTTAAAGAAAACCACAGCATATCGTAGTATTGTGTTTAACAGAGACCATCTGGTGAATGCGACCCTGAAGCATCGTTCACATAGCGTCCTAATAGAGCACTCGCATCTCATTCAGGTATCGCTGGTTCGATCCCTGCTTGGAGCGGGACTAATTGTATTATGATAAACTTTTGAATACCTTGGATTTTACTAGTCATCAGTTGTGTAATGTAATATATCTTGTGTACAAACTACAGTAATTGAGTAATTTGTTTATATTGCTGTTGTTGTATTACTACATGAATGAGTTGGTCAGTTGTGAACATTTGACATTATGGCAACACAGTGCTTTCCCACACTTTCACCAGAAGAGGTTCTCATCGAGCTCTGATTTAGAAAGCTTCGAGTAACGAACCTTTTTCCGATACAATTGAGTCGAGCGCTTCACTGGTTCAGAAAGCTTCATTTCACCATCACTACCTTAAACGCACCGGATTTTGAATTGGCATTCAATTCGCCGGATGCACTTAACCCAGGTTAATGGCAAATTAAAATACCTATTAGCATGTTTCGGCATATACCTCATTCAAGTTCAAAGGCAGTACCTACTAAGTAGTAGGCAATTTTGGATGCAGCCAAGCCTACATGGAACAAACCATCTAAGAAATGAGAACACACAGCACAATATATAGAGAACAAAGCACACGAGACACAGGTGAAAACAATCAGGATAATGACGTCTAAATAAGAGGGCGTGGTAACTGAAGACAAAGAGGAAAGACAAGTGGAGTACATGACAAGCAAAAGACGAACAGGGAAACATTAAACACTGATAGGACAGACAAGACTATCAGATCAGGACCCTGACAGTTTATCATTCTGTTTAGAGCATCAACATTTAAAAAAAAAGTGCTCATTTAGAAGAATAGCATACACAGTTCACATGTCTGCAAGTATTACAAAAAAGAGTTTTAGATAAGTAACACGCGGGCCTCCTCTCTTCAACCTATTATAAACATGTTTCCTGACATAGTTTTGGGAAACTGATGAACAATCTGTGAAGAAGTCCTTTGTTTTTGGCACTTTATTGAAAGGCTTTGTTTGCTTGATGACTGTTGTAGCCTTTATGATGGTGTTTGTGTTTCTCCTCAGGTCATCACGTTAGAGGGATGGGCGGATATCATGTATTATGTCATGGATGCTCATTCCTTTTACAACTTCATCTATTTCATCTTCCTTATCATCGTAAGTGCACAGTAATTAATTAACTGACACGTCTTCCTCTCTTTTAACCTCTGCTGGAGTCTGTGCTTTCATTAGTTGCATGGAAATGGCTTTTGCTATCATCAGGGGTGTAAATTACCACAGTCGTTTTACTTGATAACTATACTTAAAGAGATGAAAATTAAAATTCTGCCACGGTTTTTAGAGAATTTGAGATTGAGAGCTGCGGAAACTTGTTTCCATGGTGATTGCTTGTTCTAAGGGGGAAAGTTGAATTTTATTACACCATTCAATCTTAGACCTTCTTATTTAACTTTCATCAATGTGTAAATATCCGTCTATCTAAATGTGTAATACAAATCACACAATTTTTTTTGATAAATCGATCAAAGAAAGATGAAGGTCAATCAAAGTGCACTGCTGCATCCAAGTTCGCATACTATCCTTCCTGTTTTAGTTTATTTATTTAGCAGTCTGCACCGATAGCCTAGTGGTAAGGTGTGCAGACATATAGCACTCACGGCAACCTGAGTTAGATTCCCAGCTCAAGATCCTTCTCTGATCCTTTCATTCTCTCTGCTCCCCACACATTTTGCAGTCTATAATCTTTTTTCTCCTGTCTAATAAAAGGTTTAAACCCCCTTAAAAAAATTATAGGGGCCAAGCACCGCAGATGCGTGGGCACCTATTGTTTTCGTTGACGTTCTTACTATTATTATTACTATTCTTCCGCTTCCGTTTCTTCTTCCGCCAGATTTGAATGGCAGCACATATAAATGTATGCACGAAAGTTGTATAATTTTGCACAATGATAGAGGGCAGTCTCAACATTAACCAGAGCAAAGATGAAGTATCTAACTCAAACTCTCTAGCGCCACCACTTGTCCAAAGTTTCATTTATGTTTACCCATATAACTTTTGACTTTTGGGCTACAATCAAAATTCTTTTTTCCTCTGATTCCTTGGTACAAGCCAATTCAAATGCACCCTATGACGTCATTTTCTGTCATAAATTTTTTTCGCTATTTCAAATTTTTTACAGAACCCGTTTGATCAATTTCGTCCTAGGCCGTTTATCTGATTTTCATCAAAATTGAATCACATGATCTACAGACCATGCTGACCAAAATTTTTGGTACTCAAGTTGATTAGATCAACCGTTGTTATTTAACTTGCAAACAAATTTAACATAGAGCTTGAAAAAATGGATTTCAGGCGATATCTCTGTAACACATTGACGTATATATGTATATATATATATGTGTATATATGTATACATGTATGTGTGTGTAACATATTGTAACAGTTGAAGTCACATTTTTTATTCCTCTTGTGAATTTTTTTTTTTTATTATTTTAAAATATTTTCCAAACGATGATCAAGGAATTTTTCCCAGTATTTGCTATAATATTTTTTCTTCTAGATAAAGTCTGATTTGTTTTATTTCGGCTACAAAAAAAGCAGTACAATTTTTTTACATACCATTTTAAGGTCAATATTATTAGCCTGCTTAAGCTGTATTTTTCGGATTGTCTATCTACAGAAAAAACCATCGTTATACATTGACTTGCCTAATTAGCCTAACTTGCCTAATTAACATAACCTAGTTAAGCCTTTAAATGTCACTTTAAGCTGAATACTAGTATTTAAAAAAAATCTAGTCAAATATAATGTACCGTCATCATTGCAAAGATAAAAGAAATCAGTTATGAAAGTTATTAAAACTGTAATGTTTAGAAATATGCTGAAAATATCTTCTTTTCAATATATATATATATATATATATATATATATATATATATATATATATATATATATATATATGTATAGATGTTTTTGGACTATTTCTGTCTATTGAAGATGACAGCTCACTTATTTCATCTAAATTATATCTATTTGTATTCCAAAGATGAACGAATGTCTCAGGTGATTGAAATAACATAAGGGTGACTAATTAATAACTGAATTTTCATATTTGGCTGAGCTAAACCTTTAAACAAGTTGTTGTACTCTTATTTATTTACTCATATTTTGATTGGTACACAGGTAGGCTCCTTCTTCATGATCAATCTGTGCCTGGTTGTCATCGCCACACAGTTCTCCGAGACCAAACAACGTGAGAACCAGCTGATGCAGGAGCAGCGCGCTCGATTTCGCAGTAACGAATCCACCTTAGCCAGCTTAGCCGAACCCGGATCCTGCTACGAAGAAATGCTCAAATACCTCGCCCACGTTTGCCGCAAACTCTGGCGTCATGTCGTACGCATCTATGGGGATTTATGTCCCAAGAGGCGAAAGGGCGTGGCTAACCCTGGCACCTCCCTCTCTGTGGGCGGGACTAATGGATATTGGAGCGATAATGGGACGAAGATGGGTCCGACTCAGTATTGTATGCTGCACTATCATCACCCTCATCAGCATTACATAAGCAACGGCATAGAAATGAAAACACTTCAACTAGATAGAGACGCTCATATTGCAAAAAAGACGCCATCTCTCCCACTTGCACTACAGAATTTAAAGGGCTTGAGGCTCGGGATGAACTATCCCACCATCCTGCCCTCCAAAATGTACACAAATTCACATGCTCGTGGAGTAAAAGCTCCAGCTTTCCATCATGGAATTTACGGCAGGAAGATCTCTGTTTGTGGTGGATATCATGACACTTACAAGCTGCAGCACGGTAAGAATGCAATTACATTCCTATATTAATTGTAGCTTAAAGGTGCAAATACTTTTTCGAGGGCTAATGTATATATTAAGTAAAACTAGTGCAATCTGTATGCAAAACTGAAGGGTTTTGGCCCTGCTGTTATGTTTAAAATGTGACTTTGGGTTTTTTGGATTAAGAGTAAATTCTGTCTCAGGGGTTTTAACTTAATAACATAGATAATGAAATTCTTTCTTTTTTTCCTCTCTCGCTTTGCGCACTTGACATGCCCTAATAATTCCAAATTGAATTGAGGGAATCGTCTGCACAAACACACACTCTGTCTAGTCATTATTTCTGTGCCTCTTGACTTTTGCCTGAAATTACCTGCTGAGGAATCCTTGAGAGTTTTTTTTTTTTTCAGCATTTGGGTCAAAATGTATTCATAACTGTGATTGTTTCAACATCCTTGCCCACACTCCTGTGCAACTGCATTTAATAGATGTCGGAAAACTTTAGCCCTTCGTTATGCTTGGATAAACCAAGTTTGCCCTTTTATTTAGCTATGGAATGGTTTAAATTCCAGGGGCCTTTGAAAATATTTATTTAATCATATAATTTAATTACAATTTGGAACCTAAATACTTCTAATGAGAGATTAAGGGTGCTTTCACACCTACACTTTTGTTTCGGAACGTGTCTCGTTTGCCCAGTTAGCGCGGTTCGTTTGGCATATGTAAACAGGGCAATCCGCACCAAAGTAATCGCTGCGAGATCGCTTGAATGAGGTGGTCTCGGCTCGATTGAAACGAACCCTGGAGCGGTTCGATTGCAGTGAGAAAGCGATCCAATCAGAGTGCGGTTATATCACAGTGTTTTATGGATATGTAATAGGCTTACGGCTATATGAAGAGAGAATTATGAGTATGGCGGGAAGATTCGCGAGTCTCCGGATGCCCGCAAATGAGTGATGATCTCCTGGTATTCTCGCGTCTCCCACCCACTCCTCAAATAGGCACCGTCGCACACCCTTCTTACCCCTCCCCACCGCATCTCTCCTCAGACACGTCGCGCTAGCGCACCCTATCAATCACCACCAAACCACCACCTCTCCTGACAGCTTAGCGGGACGCTCTAAAATAAACCCTGACATTCTGACCAAGGAGAGTTTACTCGCACTTGACTTGTTTTAGCTCTTTTGATCCAATTAGAAACTTTGCAGTGTGAAAGCGAACCGCTCCAAGAGCAAAGGGCAACAATGTAACAATTTTAATCTCTGTTTCGGAACAACTGAATGGATTCACAGGTGTTAAAGCACCCTAAAACATAATACAACTACAACACCGAAATAAGTTTTCTAATTTTAAATGTTATAATACCAAGAAACCGTAATTTAAGTGTTTGGGGTAAGTAAGAGTTCTTTATTTAAATTGTTTAAAAAGCAAATAGGCTGATCGAAGAAATATATGGTAAACAGTAACTCTGTGTAATATTATTGCATTTTAGATCATTACTCAGTGTCAAAATCTTGAAGAATACATTTTAATAAGCTCATTTGCTGCCTGGGAAACATTTCCTGCATCATCAGTTTCTGAAAACAGTTGTGCTGTGTATTTTTTGGTGATTCTTTTTTTATAATCCTTTAATATATATATATAGAAAGTTCAACAGAAGAGCTTACATTTTACACAATGTAGAAGTGTTTAGCAAAAGGTTTTATGAATTTATTTCATCTTTGCTGAAAAAATACACTCACCGGCCATTTTATTTGGTACACCTGTACAACATGGACCAAAACCTCTGAGAAATATTTGCACTACCTTGTTTAATCTATGCCACGAAGGATTAAGGCAGTTCTGAAGGGGTCCAACCCAGCACTTGTAAGGTGTACCTAATAAAGTGGCCGGTTAGTGTTTATAATTAGTTAGTAATACAATTTAGATGCTTTAAAACTCACTTTATGGGGGCTTTATTTAATACAAAAAAAATCTAAAATCCAGTTTAATCCTTTTGGGATGATTAAATGATCCATGTAATTTTTTTTTCATGAAATTCTGTGTGTTTTTGACTTGGTTTGATGTCCTCAGCGAATATACCATCTATTTGAAAAAAAAAAACAAAAAAAAATCAAAGAATATGCGAATCATAACTATTGTGAACTCCAGAGAGATAATCGAAGTTCAGACACAGCAGATGAGTCTCAGCAGGCAGGTGTAGACAGACTGTGCCCTGATTACAGAGAGAGACTGTATTGATCACTATTGTCAAAGCAAAATCCAGAGCGTGTGTGCTAATGACAGCGTCCTTAACTATAATCAGTTCTCTAATGCATCACTGGATTGTCTAATTATCAGGTCCCATTTGCAGAATATTGTATTATAGGTGGCCTGTGTTTGTTAGCGCATTGTTTACTGCAGTGGACATTTTGTTGGAGTATAATTATTTTTGTCAGTCAGTTTCTGCTAGAAGAAAACAACCATTCATGAAATTCCCCCTTTATATAAAGGAAAAGAAACCTATTTAATTTTATTTCATTATTTAATTTATTTCATTATTTAATTTTATTTCATTATTTAAAGAAACCTATTTTGATCTTTCTTTATTTTAATATTTATCTGTGTTTGCACTCGGTGAACATTGATAAACTGATGACCTTCACAGCCAATTTTTACTAAATACGTGAACACAATGACCAATCAGTATTTTAGTATGTTTTAGTACGTGCTCAATATCGCTCAAATGTTAGCGGGAAATGGATGTTTTTGAAATTTCAGTACCGATTGGTACCTAAATTTCAGTATTGGGAATATTCCAGTATTACTTAAATAAAACTTGTATCAGAGTGACAGCAATGTTTTGTCAGCTTGTCATCCTCTGAGAAAACATTCGACAACCTATGAAACACTGCTTTCCCTCCCATCCTGTGGAAAAATTATCAAGTGTCGACTGGTCCATGGTGATAAAAAGGTTGAGGGCCGCTGTTCTATTAGTCTCACAAAGTCACGTGATCCAACCCAGGCCCATTCTGAAAACGTAGACCCGTGGACGTTTCTAGAGACCGCGAAATACGTCCCGGGAGGTACGTATTTTTGCAGTTTTCGTGAATTCGTGAGAGGCCGCTGTGTGCACTTTATTGATATATCTCAAATTTCTCTCACAAGTGCTGTTCTTGCGTAAAACCCACCAGAGGCCTCTGTCGACCGACCGTCTGTCTGACTGACTGACTGTATGACTGACTGGTCGGCCGACCAATCCAATCAACTGAGCCACCCTCCTCCTTCCCTAAACCCAACTAATTTTAGCAATTGACCCGCCCAACCACTTACTTCCCTAAACCAAACCAATGGTTTACAAAAGCCGTCCACAAAAAGAAAAGCCCTCGTCTGTTCTTTACCACGTTTTTGGATTTTACCACATTCTCACCCTGCTGTTCCCTTGTTCATTTTATTTTTTGGATTCTGTTTTTGTCTTACCTGGTTTCTGGAACCGCTCTTCCTCAGAACCCCGTCGTCGTGGCCAACTTCTCTCCCTCCGTTGGCACGACGAGCTAACGGGACAAACTGGTTGCGGCGGGAAAGCCCTTCACACGGAGACAAGCGGTCAGCTGTTAAGCGCGAAAAGGAACAGCGTCATACCTCCCGGTAGCGTTTGTTTAAAAAAATTAAATGCAGCCATACATACCTCCGGCTACATAATTCGTGGTCTCCAGAAACATCCAAGGGACTATGTTTTCAGAATGAGCCAGTGTTGGATTTCTCAGGTCAGAGTTCACCAAGCGTGAACTTTGCTACGCAGCAACATGCAAAACTTTGTCAAATGTTTCCGGTCTGCCACATTTGCATGCATTTGAATATAACTCTATGGGGCAAAAAGTACAGTGTGACCATGGCTTAACAGTGTAAAAATGCAGGGTTCCACACACATGTATGTTGTCCCAACACAAATCGATTAAGCTAACTTAACAAATTTAAGTGGATTGAACATAAAACAATTAAGTAATCCCAAAAATATCCCCAAAATTGTTTTCTTTTTTTAAATAAGTAGTTTGAACAAGCAGCAACATAATTTTTTGGAGTGTAGAACTGATTGTCGGTATATTGGCTGATCTCATGTGATTGACAGGTTGAAAAAGAAATCAGGCAAAAAAAGAAATGTGATTAAAGAGGGAGTGGATGCTATTTTGATTACAGCTACAGAAAGCACATGCATTTTAAATAATAACACTCATTTATAAATAATCTTTTACAATAAACACTCCAGCAAAAGAAAGATCTCATGGTGTCTTTAAATAACACTTCACTTCTCTGCAGGTGTGTATCCTGGCACGTGTTCGAGTGTGTGTGTGGACAGCAGGGTGGGCCTGGTGTCTTCCCAATCGTCCTCCTGCCCAATTTGCGCCCAGGAAGGTGATGGTGTTAATTGTGACTCCAACGGTGAATCAGACCCTGAGAAACAAGGGCCAGACGTGGGCTCCGAGCAGAGAAAAACAAACCTGGACGCGGAAGAAAAGGTGTCTGAGAAGAGAAATTGTGTATGCATGTGTGTTCATTATGCCAGAGCCGTTCTGAAGCGGATTGTGGACAGCAAGTACTTCAACAGAGGGATAATGATAGCAATCCTTATCAATACGCTCAGCATGGGAGTGGAGTACCATGAACAGGTGAAAACAATGCGCCGGTTTACACACAAATCACTAATGACATCTCATTTATTTCAGTTTGTTTCCAGAAAGCACCAGTGAGATTAAGTGGATGCGTTTGCTTAAGTATTCTGCTTTTCTGGAGATTAGTTTAGTAGAGTTTTGTTTTAAAAGAGATCTCATCAACTTCAACTAGTTTCTTTGAAATTTTTGTAAATGTACTTCTTGAAGTTGAAATTAGTTTAATTATTCAGTCATTCATTCATTTTCTTTTCCGCTTAGTCTCTTTATTAATCCGGGATCGCCACAGCGGAATGAACCGACAACTTTTCCAGCACATTTTTACGCAGCGGATGCCCTTTCAGCCGCAACCCATCTCTGGGAAATAGTTAAATAATGTATATTTTTAAATAAACTATTACTCAAAAAAGAAAAGTCAAGCATGATATTTAATTGGATTAATGATTGAATATTATTAATATGATAATCATAATTGATACATTTCTATTAATAATGTTTTGTTGTTGATGATGATATTTCATAGTTTTTATAAAAACATAATAATTTATTCATTTATTTTCCTTTGACTTAGTCCCTTTATATCTAGGGGGAAAACCTCCACCAACACGGGGAGAACATGCAAACTCCACAAAGAAATGCCAACTGAGGTGCAAACCAGTGCGGTTTCGTGACCAGTGCGGTTTTATCCTGTCATTATAAGACTTTTGAGTGATACCATGTCTTAAACCAGGGGTCACCAATCTCAGTCCTGGAGGGCCGGTGTCCCTGCAGGGTTTAGCCCTAACTTGCCTCAACAAACCTGCCTGGATGTTTCAAGTATACCTAGTAAGACTTTGGTTAGCTTGTTCAGGTGTGTTTGATTAGGGTTTGTAGCTAAAATCTGCAAGACACCGGCCCTCCAGGAACAAGTTTGGTGACCACTGTCTTAAACACTATTGATAGCTGGTATGAAATAATAAATCAATAAATAGTTAAACTAGCATAAATTAATACTATGTAATCCAACTATTATGGATAGTGGATATGGACTATTATGAATAATGGAATTAGTTACTATTATATAACAAATGGTGCAATAGATATTCAAGTATTAATTTATGCCCTACAGAATTTTTTTTAAATTGGGTTATATTCTATATAACTATTCTGTATGTTTATATATCTATGAAATTATAAAAGCTTATTTATTATGTTAGGATTTTAAAGTGTTTGTATAGTGATGTTTTTTTTTTTTTATGTTCTTGTTGGGTCTGATGCAACAATTTTGTTCTGCATTATAATTTATTGTAATAAAAATAATAGGGCAACGTGGTGGCCAACGTGGTCGCTGGTTCGAGCCTCGGCTGGGCCAGTTGCATTTCTGTGTGGAGTTTGCATGTTCTCCCCGCGTTTGCGTGGGTTTCCTCCCAGGTGGTCCGGTTTTCCCCACAGTCCAGAGACATGCGATACAGGTAAATTGGGTAGTATTGTTCGTAGTGTATGTTTGTGTATGAGTGTGTATGTGTGTTTCTCAGAGATTGGTTGCAGCTGGAAGGGCATCCGCTGCGTAAAAATTTGCTGGATAAGTTAGCAGTTCATTCCCCTGTGGCGACCCCAGAATAATAAAGAGACTAAGAAATGTATTTATTCATTCGTTCATTGTTAAATTAAAGAATAATAGAATTTTCAATTTCTTATGTGTCATTTTAGATCTGAGTGCATTTTCTTATGATGACCAAAACATATTTATAGCTGCCCTGATTTAAATGGATTCAGTCAACTTCTGTTTAATCAAAATGTACAAGTCTTTGAGCCCTTCTACACTACCTGACTAAAGTCTTGTCACCTATCTAAGTTTTAGGAACTACAAATACTAACTTGAACTCTAGTTGCTTATTTAGTATCTGAAGTGGCTTATATGGAAGGCAACGACCTCTATATTTTGCATATTTTACTAGAAGAAAATATAATCATGTCTTGATTTTTAATAATTTAATTATGACAGTAAGTTCAGACTTTGCTCAAAAGTTTTGTCACTTAACACAAATAATGTCCAGTATAGAATATATAAAGTCATGGTGCAGTGGAGAAAGAATAAATAATGTGTATGACTCCCATGAGCTTGGAGGACTGCATCCATACATCTCTGCAATAACTCAAATAACTGATTAATAAAGTCATCTGGAATGCCAAAGTAGGCGTTCTTGCAGGACTTCCAGAGTTCATTAAGATCCTTTGGATTCAGCTTCAATGTCTTCTCCGTCATCTTACCCCCGACATGCTCAATAATGTTCATGTCTGGTGACTGGGCTCGCCAATCCTGGAGCACCTTGACCTTCTTTGCATTCAGGAACTTTGATGTAGAGGCTGAAGTTTGAGAAGGAGCGCTATCCTGTTGAAGAATTTGTCCTCTCCTCTGGTCTGTAATGTAATGGGCAGCACAAATGTCTTGATACCTCAGGCTGTTGATGTTGCCACCCACTCTGCAGATCTCTCGCACGCCCCCAAACTGAATGTAACCCCAAATCATGATTTTTCCTTCACAAAACTTGGCTGATTTCTGTGAGAATCTTGCATCCATGCTGGTTCCAATAGGTCTTCTGCAGTATGTGTGATGATTGGGATGCAGTTTAACAGATTATTCATTGGAAAAATCTACAATCTGCCACTTTTCCAAATGATCAACTAGAAGTCAAGTTATTATTTGTTGCTCTCACAACTGGGATTGGACAACAAGACTTTTGTCAGGTAGTGTAGTAAGTTTACTGATGTTTAAACAAAAAATAATCATAATGAGTACATTAGTAAATCTCCTGACTTTTGAGTGTTACAGTTTCTCTGGCGCACACACACACACACAAACACCCGAGTGTCAGAAACACTGATTGTGACATTACAGGATCACAGGCTGCCGTGTTTGCGGTGTGATTGTATGCATGTTTGTGGCTCATATTGCATTTAATTAACCCCCGTTGGTTAGGATTAGTGTGTCTGTGTGAGACGGAGAGCGAGTCTGAGATTAACCGGTTTGAGGCAGAGGACATTCACACTGTTGCCAGGGAAATGATTATTTACATTACAGTAGACACGCTTAATAACAGCACTCGTCTGCTCTTTCTCCGCGAGACACAAAAGCCCCGTGGAGAGAAAGAGAATATGTCATGATAGCAACAACACTGTGGTTTAGCTTTTGTATATGTTCATGTTAGCACTGTATGTGTTATGGACATGAGTGATGCTTCAAATTACACAGCTTGTTATTGTTGTACTGTTTCTAAGTGACTGCACTGACCTTTTTAATGTGGTGGACAACACAAGATCTTATTGACTTTCATTCATTTTCCTTCGGCTTAGTCCCTTTATTCATCAGGGGTCGCCACAGCGGAATGAACCACCAGCTTAGCATATGTTTTACACAGCAGCTGCAACCCAGTACTGGGAAATAACTGACCCAGCGAGGACTGGAATCAGTGACCTTGCTGTGAGGCGACAGTTCTAACTACTGAGCCACCATATCGTCCTCTTTACACTAGCTAAAAGTTTGGAATAATTGAGGGTTTTTTTCAGTGTTATGTTCGTAAAGGCTTCATTTGTTTGATTCAAATACAAAACAAAGAGCAATACCTTGAAGTATTATGCAGTTTAAAAGAGATGAGGTTTATTGAATTGAACACAAGGACAAAGTAAATTCATTTTAAAGTGACAGTAAAGAAAATGTTCAAAGAAATGCAGTTAATTAAACTTTCTATTCATCAGATATTCCTGATTTAAAAAATAAATATTTTTCCATAACCTGAAAATCTGGGTTTAATGTTTATTAAAATGTCAGCATTTGAGCAAAACGGTTTATAAAACTTCATTCATTCATTTTCTTTTCGGCTTAGTCCCTATATTAATTACGGGTCGCCACAGCGGAATGAACTGCCAACTTATCCAGCATATGTTTTACGCAGTGGATGACCTTCCAGTTGCAACCCAATAATGGGAAACACTTACGCTGTCATTCACACTCATACACTACAGACAATTTAGCCTACAAAATTTACCTATAGCGCATATATTTGGACTGTGAGGGAAACCGGAGCCTCCGGAGGAAACCCACATTAACACGGTGAGAACATGCAGATTCCACACAGAAATGCCAACTGACCCAGCCGAGGCTCGAACTAGTGACCTTCCTGCTGTGAGGCGATTGTGCTACCCACTGCGCCACTGTGACACCCTAAAAAATTCTTCAAAACATTAAATAAAATTAAATCAAAAATAAATAATACTGTATATTAAATAAATATTCTAGCCTACAGGACTGGTTACTCAAAAGTCTCGTTCATATCATATATCATATCACATATAATATTTTGTCTCATCTTCACCAATCAGCTGGTGTGTGGTCTGGTGCAATATGGCTGCTGTTGTGTCAACCAGGTAGATGATGCACACTGGTGGTGGATGAGGATGGTGGTTCCCCTCATCCACCCATTTAAAAATGTGTAAAGCGCTTTGAGTGTCCAGAAAAGCGCCAAATAAATATAAGGAATTAATATTATTATTATTATAAAAGGTGTCATTTTAAAGCATATATAAATTCATTTTTAGACAGCACACTGTGGTTTTTAGACTTCAGAATAGTTAAGAAATGTATATTTGTTGGAATAAAACTGATAATTACAAAAACATAAAAACAAAATGAAGCATTTTTCATTCTCACCAATGGTGATTTTGAAAATAAGGGCCATAAAGGACAATATTTTAATTTGAAGTTTAGAAAATAGTTATCAGACCTGCAGTATGTAATAATGTTCTAGTGTTTATACTGGTGGGTCAGTGGCTCAGTGGTTAGCACTGTCACCTCACAGCAAGAAGGTTGCTGGTTCGAGCCAGAAATGGCCAGTTGTCATTTCTGTTTAGAGTTTGCATGTTCTCTCCGTGTTGGCGTGGGTTTACTCCAGGTGCTCCGGTTTCCTTCACAGTCCAAAGGCATGTGCTATAGGTGAACTGATTAAACTAAATGGGCCTTAGTGTATGAGTGTGTGTATGGGTGTTTCCCAGTACTGCGTTGCAGCTGGAAGGGCATCTGCTGCGTAAAACATATGCTGGATTAGTTGGCGGTTCATTCCGCTGTGGCGACCACTGATGATTAAAGGGACTAAGCTAAAGGAAAATGAACGAATGAATACTGTATTTTTGATTTTGCAAACATATAGCCTTTTTTGTTCACTATTTACAGTTGCACGTTCATGTGAATATAAATTGGTCGACTATGACATAATACATAACGCTCTAATAATATTTCCTACAATCTCTCTCTTTTCAATCTCTCCACAATCTCTCTCTGTTTCTTTTAGCCGGATGAGCTGACAGACGTGTTGGAGATCAGTAATATTGTCTTCACGAGTTTGTTTGTGTTAGAGATGCTCCTGAAGCTGTCAGCCTGTGGTCTGTTCGACTACATCAGCAACCCCTACAACATCTTTGATGGGATCATCGTCATCATCAGGTTTTTCTGCTTTTCTAGATACACTAAATTCCACTTTTATGACTGGATTCTGACACACCACTCTCACCCAGTCCAGTCATAAAACTGGAATATACTCCTCGATATAAATCTGGATGAGTGAATCAAAAATGCACTTATATAAGATTAAAATGTAGAGCTTATGTAATTGTAGAATGTTAAATTTGATCATTCTAATTATTTAAATTATTAAATTCAAGTTTTTTACATTGAAGGTTTATTTAAAGGGTACATCATATGACTTTTTATATGTTGAAGTGATATAATCAGGTCCCTGGTGGATCTGAACACAAATAAAATGTGAACAAATACAACCTAGTAACTATGTTTTAGTCTGTTTTCTCTGCAAGCATGTGCAAAAATAAGCTGCTCACATTTCTCTCCTCTAGTGGCCCAGGAAAGGGATCTTATAATATAAAAAAATATATAAATATAATAAAAAATATATAATATTTTGTTTAATCTGCATGTTTCCACACACAGCACAACTGCAATAGTCAACAATTCCGTTCAATCTCTACTTTGGGATTTAGATTAGATTTAACTTTATTGTCATTACACATGTACAAGTACAAGGCAACGAAATGCAGTTTAGGTCTAACCAGCAGTGCAATAGCAGCAAGTGCAGGTTACAGGTATAAGTTATTAAGTATATTTATAGAAAAACTATGGTGATTTTTACAGATGGATGTACCATTAACCTTATATACAGGTTGTATTAGCTATGAACAGAGATTTACAGTAAATGAATATATGCACAGGTTGCTATTAATAAAAATGTGCAGATAGATAAACAATTAAAAATGTATATGTACAGTGGGTGTGTACATTATTACAAATGTCCATGTGCAGTGGGTATGTGCGGTTTAAACCGTTTATGTACAGTGTACAGTACAATATCTACGCCATGAAAACTTTACAAATGAGAAAAATTATGATAAAGGTTTTTATTACGCTGGAATACTCTGGAATACTTGTTTCTGATTGGTCAGTTGTGACATTCCAAGGTATGTTATTTTCAGTTAACAACCGCTAAATAATGCAAGCTCGTCAGGGAATCACCTTGACTGTCAGTAAATACGTATACAATTATATCCACATTTATATACAGTTGAAGTCAGAATTATTAGCCCCCCTGTTTATTTTATAATTTTCCCTGTTTTCTGTTTAATGGAGAGAAGTTTTCAACACATTTCTAAACATAATAGTTTTGATAGCTCATCTCTAATAGCTAATTTATTTTATGTTTGCCATGATGACAGTAAATAATATTTTACTAAATATTTTTCAAGACGCCTTTATACAGCTTAAAGTGACATTTAAAGGCTTAACTAGGTTAATTAGGTAAACTAGGCAGGTTAAGGTAATTAGACAAGTTATTGTATAATGGTGGTTTGTTTTGTAGACTTATTGAAAAAAAATTAGCTTAAAGCGGCTAATAATGTTGTCTTTAAAATTCAATTCACCTTTATTTGTATAGCGCTTTTACAATGTAGATTGTGTCAAAGCAGCTTCACATAAAAGATCAAAGTAAATTGAAATAGTGTAGTTCAGTTTTAATGTTTAAGTTCAGTTCTGTTTAGCTCAGTTCAGTGTGGTTTAATAATCACTACTGAGAATCCAAACACTGAAAAGCAAATCCATCGATGCGCAGCTCTACAGATCATGAACCATGCAATCTAGTGGCGACAGCGGCGAGGAAAAAATTCACCAATTGGCGAAAGTGAAGAAAAAAACCCTTGAGAGAACCAGGCTCAGATGGGTATGACCATTTCTCCACTGGCGAAACGTCTTGTGCAGAGCTGCAGTCTGAGCACCAGAGGCTGGAAGCTTGGCCTCAGCGAAGACTCGTCTGTCCCTGGACCCTCACAGGGATCAGTCTCATTCTCTCCACTCCTCCATGACCACCACAGCAGCTGCTTAGGATACGGCCTGGTCCAGGATATGGAAACCTTGGGATCATCTTGTCGCTGGTCAATGAGTATCCCCAGGTGGAAATAGAGAATAAAGAGAATAATTAGCGTAGCTGCTGTTCATAGTGTATATAAATGAGATGAAGAAACCTGTTTGGAGCACATTCATGTGTCATACTGCTAAGTGATGCACTGAGTGTAAGCTTTACTAAAAAGATAGGTCTTTAATCTACTTTTGAACTGCGCGAGTGTGTTTGAGCCTCGGACATTACGGTGTTTAAAAAATTTAAAACTGCTTTTATTCTTGTCGAAATAAAACAAATAAGGCTTTGTCCAAACGAAAAAATATCAGCCATACTGTGAAAAATTCTTTGCTCTGTTAAACATCATTGGGGAAATATAAAAAAAAGAAAAAAAATTCAAAGGGGGGCTAATAATTTTGACTTCAACTGTATAACAGCTTGTCTGTCACACCATGGTTTTTGACTGTTTTTTACTGTTTGACAATCTCATATGAAAGAATATTTCCTCGGTAGGTATGCTTGGTTTTGTTTCTGTCAGTTTTGTGTTTGACTGTTTGCCAACATATTTTAACCGAATAATTTGCAGGTTAGTGTATACTCCATCAGCTTTTTTTGTTTCTGTCAGCTTTGCATTTAATTAAAAGGTTAGCTGACTATTACGGCTCAGAACAATGTTTTGTGTCTATTTTTGTTTGGTTTTGTGCCAAGTATTCATGTAATAAGTGGCATAAAATATATCTAGGATGGTTTTTTTCACAGAATAAAACCCTTTCAGTCTCATACAACAGCCCTTCACTTCGCTATTTGACATGCTTTTTGCTGAAATAGCTGAATCAATTCAACTTCACAACAACTATGTAAATGTCTCCACTGACCATACAGAAACATCCCGGTTCATTCTAGAAATATAGCCCTTTCCTCTTGAATATGGAAGGCTTTATTCCACTCGTGGTTGTTTCTGACATTTTGACTGCACGATTGCTTGTTTTGTTGTTACTGGAGTGTCAGAATAAAGACTCCGCTGTTTTCTCAGACCAAAATATGGGCAAATTTGACAAGCTAAACTAATAATAATAATAATACATTTTATTTGTATTGCACTTTTCCTACATACATGCAAATCAAAGCGCTTCACAAACAACAAACAAGCATTAAAATAAACCAAAAGTTTTTAAAAATGTATAGACAAAAGTAAATGGCCTATGGGGTATTTTGATTTAAAACTTCAGCGACACAGTGATTTGTTTGACATCTTATGGAAATAGACCTAATATGTCTACAAAATGAAAACAGATCTGGATTTATAAGCAATCACGGGGCTTGCGATTTCTAGGTTTTGTGTTTGTAAATGTGCTGTGTTTTGTCTGCTGGTTTCTGCAGTGTTTGTGAGATCGTTGGACAAGCGGACGGAGGGTTTTCAGTCCTGCGGACGTTTCGTTTGCTCAGGGTGTTGAAGTTGGTGCGGTTTCTCCCTGCTCTGCGCCGGCAGCTGGTGGTGCTTATGAAGACCATGGACAACGTGGCCACTTTCTGCATGCTGCTCATGCTCTTCATCTTCATCTTCAGGTCTGAAATAAAGTGCTTCGTGTACCATATATAAACAAGACCTTGTTCCACAGGTGTCCAAACTGTCCGTTTACTAATAGAGTAATTGTGTGTTCATGTTGTTCATTGCAAAACTGCTGCTGTTGAGGTGGGAGATGGTTAATGTTAAGGACATGGTTATTGGTATGAATAGGTTTAAGGGTTATGTTTTATGCTGGGTTCACGCTAAATAACAAATTAAGTAAATTAAGTATAAGTGCTTGCTTGTGGATTACATACACAGTCAATGCAAATGCACGAATAGAGGCGAATTTTGACTGAGCAAAGGAAATGATGCAGAATGTGCAATGCATTTGTTGTAAGCATGCAGAATTTGTTTCAATCGTATCTTCGACGCACGTTAAAAAAATTCTATGTAGCTGAAAATTCATGTGGGGCAAAACACAAAAAAAAAAAACCTGCAAGCAAACTCAAGTGAGTGATTGCATTTGGTCTGAACCCATCATAAGGTCAAAAGTGTAATTACTAGAGCTGCATAATACTTTGAAAATGTGCAATATGCAATATGACAGTTGAGTATTGTGTTGATAATAATAATTCTTGTGAAATAACATCTCCCTAGAGAAATTCTATTCCTTGTTGGCTATTTTTTAACATTTATTTATGTAGTTACCAGAGCTTGACATTAACACCCGCCAAATGCAGGTAGATTTCAGCTGGTGGGTTAGACAGCCACCTCCGCTAGACATCTTGGCCCGTTGAACATATGAAATATGCGTGCAAATGCGATCTTAGAATCGAGAAGCAGCACGACTGATGAAAATAATTGTGAATACCGAACAAGAGGATCATTCGAGCTAATAGTAGATGTGATGCGCGCGACTGTTTAAAATGAATGCACGCTCCCGTTTCCTTGCGTGAAGCAACCGTGCTGATAGACGCAACTGGTGTAATTCTATTTTAAATAGACTAGACAAAAATTATGCTTGTGCACCCACAGTCTTACTGCTTTCAAGAGCTCCAGATTTGTCTTTTTGTAAGCAGCACCAGTTGCTTTTGCTTCAACCATTCTTTGAACAGATTATTAACTGGCCTAATGTTAAACGTGTGCTTCAGTTCGTCCTTTCATTATCACACGCGGTTTGTTTTTCACCTGTTTTCTTTTACTTACAGTTATTTTTGTTAAAATGTTTTAACTATTATTTTTTACAATAACATTGCTTAAATGGATTATTAACTTCCCATTTATGTGTAGTTAACTGGTTATCTGGGAGCTTTAGATTACTATGAATAGTTTTAAATGCTTGACAATAATTACTTTTTTAAATGTAATTTTTTTTATGTTTTGTTAAATGAAAAGTATAGTTTACAGCTATATTTTGCTTGTTTTGACACATTAAAAAATTATGGACAAGAAATAAATATTTATGTTTGGTGTGGTCAGAGATCAATTGGGTAAAACCTTAGTTTTGAGCTCTGAAAAGTCATGTCAGATAAAAACAAACTGTAATACAACACTATGAAACCATGACCCATTTGCTCATGCACATTAAGCAAGCTCATATACGACAAAAGTGAAATGAATGAGGAGGCATGTGGACATAACACAACATCTAAATCATGTAATTTTAGCATGTCAGAATTATTTATGTACTGTATAAAAGTATATTTTCCTAACAAAACTCTGGCTAGTGAAAATGCAGAGTGGCTAGTAATGTTAAAAAAACTTCTAGCCACAGAGACTGCTGATCAAAAAAGTTAATGTCAAGCCCTGAAGGTGACCATATTAAAATGAACAATTAACAGACATTTTTCTGATCCAATTTAATCTAAATTACACTTTAAAAAAATGAGGTGAAGGTGGAAACATTTAGACTTTAAAACATATTATTATTAAATCATTTATTTATATTAGTAGCTGAAGGCCGATTCACCGCCTCCATTTTACAAGAACAATGTGAAAATATTTATATTTACAATAAGTGCTAGATTCTTTATTTTAATACTAATAAATAGTGGGAAATAATATAAAATGGTTTTCTGTGAGTTTGAATGGTTTTTTCCCATGCAAAATTCTTTTAAATAGTGAACGTACTCATAATGTTATAATGCTAATATAACAGTGTTTAAATACATGTTTATAGTTATAAACCCTACATGTATGTTATATACAAGTATATTAGAATATAATTATTTAAATATTTGTATTAGTAGTAAGCTGGAGACAGAAGTCACTGGAACCTAGAAAGAATCCTGATAGTCTTTTTATTAATTTAATTTAATTTAATTTAATTTAATTTAATTTTTTAATAATCATTCTTGTCTCTCTTTTCTCTCTCTTATCTTCTGTGTTTTAGTATTTTGGGAATGCATCTGTTTGGGTGTAAGTTTACTCTGCGTTTGGAGAATGGAGACACGGTGTCGGATAGGAAGAACTTTGACTCGCTCCTCTGGGCCATCGTCACTGTTTTTCAGGTCAGGAAAATGTGAATTAAGTGTTTAATAGGCAGTAAATGAATTCTCTATTTATTTCACAAAGGTAGAAATACTTCAGTGAAAACTACTTATTCTTGCTTGAATAACAAACAAACAAAGTCCTCTTTAGTGGAAAAATAAAACATTAAAGTAGATTTTGAAGCTGTATTTTGCTGACCACCAGGAGTCTGTAGGTCACTAAACTGACGGTTGAACTTATTAAAATCTCACCGCGGCTTGTGTTCATTTAGACTCCAGAAATAGCATTTTTAGTCTTCGGAGGCAGGTTTTGATTAAATACTCACTCCTCAATGTGGGAACAGCAGCATTTTGCAAAAATTGCTGAGGCAGGGGATTGTGAGTATTTAGCCTGCCTTAAATGAAGTAACAAATCCTTTTGTGTCAAAAGCTAAACAGCCACTTTTTGAAGCTTATTATATTCACAACACCTAGTTCTGTAAAAGTTGGGAGGTTTTGTAAAATACAGTAAATATCAGGACAACATGAGCTGTTAAGTCTCTTTAATTTGTTTTTATCTGACTCAAACACAGAAAGAGATTTCTATGGGTTTCAGATTCCCTCAATGTTCTTACATTATTTTATATGGAATGGGTTAAAGTCACGAAACATGAAATTCCAACCTATTATCAGACCATCTCCTTATTGTGAACTATCCAACAAAGGCTCATTGTGAAATTGTACCCCCGTATACATTTCTTGAGATCGCAAATCTTTAAAACAAATGCTACGAGGTGGTAAGACACAGTTCCTTTTCGCTTACCTCCTTGTGGACGCCTTTTCTGGTCTTACTAGTTTGCCCAGTAGCTCACCTCTCACGTCAGAGGATTTGAGAGGCAGAGATGAATTGACTGCGATGACGGGGTTCGAGTCTGGCAAAGAATGGTTCCAGAGAGCAGGTAAGACAAAAACAAAAGGCAAAAAATAAAATAAACAAGTAAATAACAGGGTGAGAATGATGTAAAAATCTGAAAATGTGGTAAAAAATGCCTATTATTAAAATGTGGGATAAAAAAGGGCTTTTCTTTTTCTAAATTGCTTTTGAAAACACTGTCGGTTGGGTTAAGGAAAGGGGGTGATCGGGTCAATCGCTGATTTTTAAAACACTAATGATTGGATCTATGGAAGGAGGAGGGAGGGGGATCAGTAAGTCAGTCGACAGCTGCCTCTGGTGGATTTACATGAAAACAGCAGATACTAATAGTACTTGCAAGAGAAATTTGAGATCTGAAAAAGCGTACACAGTGGCCACTGGAGGATTTGCGGAAACAAAATCTGCAAATAAAAGTAACTCCTAGGACGTATTTGGTGCTCTCCAGAAAAGTATATAGGGGTACATAATCATAATGAGCCTGGGTTGAAACCATCCCAGACCTGTTTCAGTTGAATATGCTGTATCCTTTTCACTTTTATTCACATATATTGCTTCAGCCTACATTTTTTGGAAACCGCAAAAGTGTATTTCAACAAACGTTTGACTGTAATTTATAGGTGAGTGTTATTCCTTATCATGCTAATGATAGTTACATGGACATATTATCAACAAATTAAGGATTATTTTCATTCAGTTCTATGCATCACACCAAATAAAGACTGTACAACAAAGTCTATTATTAGTAATCAAATATGTTTGCCTCACCTGTCTATCTCCATCACTTTTCTTGCAAGTTTGATTGGTAGCTCACTTTATATGGTGTTGTACTCAGGTTAGAGTCCAGTGAAGCATGGTCTCACAAGACAGACAAAAGCAATGTAAAATCAAGGTAAATCCATGTGATCGCAGTGCACATTTCTCTCACATTTGTTTTTAAAAACACTTTTTTTGGGGTTTGGAAGGGTTAAGTCGGGTATTCGCTGATGTAGGTGATCTTGAATTTTGTTTTTGATGCCTGTTTTTCCTGTAATTGTAATTTATAAATGCACAACAATAATAAAAACAGACAAAAAATACAACAAAACTTACCTTAAGTAACATTTCAGATTCACAAAAATATAGAAAGCGCCCTCTAGTGGATTTGACCTCTGAAACGTGCAACGAAACGAACACGGAGGGCCCTATCATACACCCGGCGCAATGCGGAGCAAGGCACGACGCAATTGTTGTTTGCTAGTTTTAGTTCGCCGCAATGGTCATTTTGATGTTTTGCACCATGCTGTTTAAATAGCAAATGCTTTTGCATAGGCGTTCTGGTCTAAAAAAGGAGGCGTGTTGAGGCGCATTGCTGGCGCGTTGCTATTTTGAGGAACTAAAATATAATGTTTATTAGACCAGCTGAGAGGAGGTCTAAAGTCCAGCGCAGAGCACGTTAGTTGTGCGCCTCGCCTAAACATTGCTTAATACACACAGGATGTACAGAAATACGCGAATATCTTTACAAATGAAAAAGAATTAAAGGATGAAAATAATACAAAAAATATTATTTTCTACATAAATATAAAAACCATACTTTCATGCCTTCATCATCTCGAGGGGTGCAAAGTTGATTCATGACAATTTGCTTTTGTATAATGTTATTATTAGTAGCAGTAGTATTTATTATATGCATATTTATATTTGTTTTAATAAAACAACTTTAAGATTTGTCGATTTTTTTTGACCACACTTCGTTATTATTGTTCATTTTTTTAGCTTGCTGGACATAGAACTGAATTTAGAAATAGTTTTGAAACAAATCTTTGCGCTTAATAAATTAAAATTAATCATGTAGGCTTATGGATGTCTGTGTGTACAACACGTTCCTTTTCCACAAAAGAGAGTGAAAGTGAAAGTAAAAAGGGAGGAGATTAATTCTCTCATTCTCATGCTCTGTTTAACTGTTTTCTCTCTAGTGAAGTGCTCAGTTTTTTCACTTACAAAGTCCACCATGTAAATAGCAAATGCGCTATGTCATGACGCAGCTGACTCTTAAAGGGAATGGGAGATGAAACTCTAATTGGTTTATTCTCAAAACACACCCATAACTCATTAGGAGAATAAGCTCAACCATGTTAGACCTTGCGTTGCGGCGCAAAGCTGATTTTTCCATCCTTAAATTAGCAAAAATGGGTTTGGACACACCCTTTGCACCTGGATCGTCTAAATGGAAGTGTATTTTTTTACAATTTGCAAAAATGTTGGCTGATGTACACATTTCCAATGAGTTTGGGTTGACAAATACATTTAAGTTTGTTATTTTTTTGTTGTTTTGTCAAATAGATACAAGTTGTAAAATAATTAGTAAATTACAAATTCTTTATTTCATTGCATTTTACAGAACTTTCTGGAAGTGGGGTTGTATATTAATAGTCTGTATTGATTCTAAATTAAACCTATAGTTTTGTTACGAAAAATAAATTTTATTACAAAACACTTCTAATATCTTCATCTCTGTCTAATAGGCAGGCTGTGCGTGTGTGCGTGAGTGTTTGTGTGTGTGTGTGTGTCAGTTTTACTTGGGGAAAAAACGGGATTATTCAAATTTTCACAAGTGGTGTCAGCTAAAATTGCTGAGGTCATCAAATGCTCCACTGTATTATTGCAGACATGATGAGGTCATCAGTCGTCTCCCCGCAGCATTGGCCAGTGTGATGAGGTCATCGCGGGTGACATTTGTGCAAATACTGATATGCTGCTGTATTAACTCCAGGCCCTGAGGGAAGGGTTTCTTCGCTACCAGGAGCCTTTAATTTCCCTAATCTCTATTTCTGTCGGTGTGTGTGTATGTGTGTGTGTGTGTGTGTGTGTGTGTGTGTGTTTGTGTGTGTGTGTGTGTGTGTGTGTGTGTGTGTGTGTGTGTGTGTGTGTGTGTGTGTGTGTGTGTGTGTGTGTGTGTGTGTGTGTGTGTGTGTAAGCAGAATATAAACTCCAGACTGAAGCTGCTGTTTTTCCTCTGTTCTAAATCAGTCTGCAGAAGGAGGCAGAGATGAGTTTGGCTTCTGTTGAGGATTTCTGAGTGAAATGTGCTGCAGTGAAGGAAAAAACACGCTCAACAAAGTTTGTTTGGATTTGCAGTGGAATTTAAAATAAAGCTATAAAGTTTACTTCTGTTTTTCTTGTTTAAGTATTACCGCTAATAATAATAATAATAATAATGACAACAACAACAAAAATAATAATAATAATACATTCATTCATTCATTTTCTTGTCGGCTTAGTCCCTTTATTAATCCAGGTTCGCCACAGCGGAATGAACCGCCATTAAGCAAATTTTTATGCAGCAGATTCCCTTCTAGCCGCAACCTATCTCTGGGAAAATAATAATATAGCAATAATAATAATAACAACAACAACAGCAATAATAATAATAACAACAACAATAATAATAATAAATATAATAATAATATAGCAATAACTACAACAACAACAATAAAAATAATAATAATAAATAAATAATAATAATAAATATAACAACAACAATAATAAATATAACAATAACAACAACAATAATAATAAATAATAACAGTAATTGTAATAATAACAATAACAATATTAATACTAGCTGTTGTTGTTAATAATAAAAACAATAATTATTATTATTATTATTATTAACAACAGCAAAAATGTTATTATTATTTTTGTTGTTTTATTATTATTAAATTTATATTTATTGTTATTATTATTGTTGTTGTTGTTGTTGTTATATTTATTAATAGTGTTGTTATTTTTGCTATATTATTATTTTTATATTTATTATTATTATTATTATATTATTTTTATTTGGTTATTGTGTTTATTTTATAAAGATAAAAGCTTTAATAAAGTTTATGAAATTAGAATAATTAATACTTTTATAATAATTTTAAGTTGTTTTTATTCAAATGTTTATGGCTACCTTAAATGTGTAAAAGTAGGTTGGGATATTCATGGTAGATAAGCATTGCAATTTATTAGTTAATATTTTGTTATAACCATTATATTGTTATTTTTATTAATATTATAATGATCATAATTCAATTATTTGCCATTTTGCAAATAATAAATTATTATTATTATTATTTAATAACAATACTTATCGGTTAAAATATTGTCAATCTAGGACATTTTGATGAAGACTGGATAATTTGCCATAACAAAATTAAGTAAAACTATGCACATTCATTATAATGACATTATTTCAATGTTAGTTGTGTTAAAGTATTATGCATATTAATGACCCCTTTTTTCTACAGCTTTGGTTTTGTCATCTTCTAATATTGATCAACCAATATTATAGATTTGTGTTCAATCAACAGTTTAAATTACTGTGTTTTGATGGTCCTCTTTAGACATTCTGTTGACTAAATACATGTCAGCTAACTCTCATTAGAGTATTAGTAGACTATTAGCCTACATTTATGGTTAGGTATGTCTTAATTCTTTTAGTTGTATCAAATAAATGTTTCTACTCATCTCAACTTACATCAATCAAACTAACTAAATATATTAAACTTTGTATAACCTAAAAAAAATGATTAACCAGTTAAAATAAGTTAAAGCAACCTAAAAGATTTGTTGTCTTGCCCTGTTAGTCACTACATTTAAATAGTGTAGTAGAGTAAGTTCATGTTTACCGGCAAAGTTATAATGTCTGTTGTGGGACCATCAAAATAAAATGTTAACAGATATATCGAGCAGACCATATACTAGTATTAGTCCTAGTACTCTTATGGCTGATAGTCTACATTTTTATTCTACATAGCAAATTATTTATTGTCAGCAGAAACATCCAAAGAGTAACATCAATATACAGTATGCTATTAAGCATTTCAATCGAAATATGAATTCTAGGGCTGATGTTGTAATCAATAAATGGCATTTTGATATTTTAGCAGCTTATAAAAATAACTGTTTATTGGTGGTAGATATGTGATGTGATATTTGTGCTAATGCATATGTGTGTGTCTGCAGATTTTGACGCAGGAGGACTGGAATGTGGTTCTGTATAACGGCATGGCCTCCACATCCCCATATGCAGCTCTATATTTTGTGGCCTTGATGACATTTGGGAATTACGTCCTCTTCAATTTACTGGTTGCCATCTTAGTAGAGGGTTTCCAAGCAGAGGTAAGATATCAGATTTTGGCCAGATTTACTAACAGTTTGCACCAGCACAGACCCTCTTGGCATTAAAAAAAAAAAACACAGTCAGGATTTACTACAGTGCAGTGAAAACTTGCTCATAAAAAAAGGTCATAGACACAATTATTTTTGCCGCTGGCCTTATTGTATATGCATTTGAGTTTTCCTTTCAGACACACAATTTATGGGAGGAGGAGAGTATTTAAATGAATTGTGCAAAGTGATTTACTGGAGCACAAAACCAGTGCAAAGGTGTATTTGTGGGAATAGTCAATAATTCATTGTGTGAATTAAAATTATATTATTTTCTAATCATTAGAATTTTAAAAGAGCCGTGAAATTAAAATAATTTTTTTAGATGTAAAAGTATCAGTTTGTTAGTCATAAGGATATCTAATGTGCTCCAAATAGTAAAAAATTCACATTTAGAAGATATAAACCTGATATAAACATTTAAAGCTTGCAGTTTATCACTACCGTCTAAGTGGATCAATGATTTATTTGACCTCACCTCAATCTTCAGTTTTCAATCATATGTTTTGACCAATCAAATGCTCTCTAGTATCTGACATGCCCCGCCCCATTCTTGTTGGCTATTCATTTGATGCGCTTGAGCTCAATCACTCTCATTGGCAGAGCTGTGAGAAAAACAACACTTTATGCCAGGGGTGGCCAACTCTGTTCCTGGAGAGCCATCTTCCTGCAGATTTCAGTTGCTACCCATATCAAACACACCTGAACCAATTAATTAGGACCTGAACACCACGTGATAATTACTGGCAGGTGTGTTTGATATGGGTAGCAACTGAAATCTGCAGGAAGGTGGCTCAGGAGTGAACATCCTCACTACATTGCTGCACACCTCAGTGCACTAATTTGCTTGCATTCTTTCCCTGTTGATGCTACAGTTCGAGCACAGTTAGGTTAACTGTTTTTCATTTTTGGTGCCCAAGCACGTTTAACCCCCATTTCCTGGTTCATTTGACAAGTGTGAGTGCTCCGAATTCAGTCAGCATTATGAATGTGATTAACAGTGAGGCTGTTTTTGCAGTCCGAATAAGCCTGTTCAATCACAAATTATGAAATCAAATAATTATAGTATAATATTTAAGTTAATGTTAAGCTATCTCGCAGCCCACCTGCTGGATCGCTGAAGCCCACTAGTTGAGAATCCTTGTTCGATTGGGCTTGTACACTTGTAGTGTGAGTGCAAAGCACACCTAAGCCTACCCTGAAGACGCAATGTCACTTTAAAGGGACTGTTTCAAATGGATTTATTAATCATTCTTACTTTTCAATCAATGCAAACTAATATAGTTTATCAAAGTTGCAAACCCCTCACTGCACATCAGCTGCACCTTTAGCAAACTTGTAGCATGAGGACTTTTAAGAAAATTTTATAGCGTCAAAAGTGGTGGATCTGTTCAGGAAAACATTTGAATGTGTCACTGCATCACAAACTACTTAGAATAAGACAAAGCAATATAATTAAAGCAATCTCCATTGCACTAAGCTAGAGCGCTTTTTTTCCCAATGGCCCGTTTCCACTGTACAGTACACTTTTATGGCCGTTTCCACTGTCAAATGATACCTAATGGCCCATTTCCACTGAGGGGTACGAAACGGTACAGTTCGGTATGCTTTTATGGCAGCTTCCACTGTCAAAAGGTACCTAATAGCGAACCATACCGTACCACTTTTTAGATACCCTTTCGAAAGGGTACCTAGCACAACAAAAGAGTACCAAAAGGCGTAGCTAGAGGAGCAGCTGAACGCTATTGGTTTACAGAGATAGATCACCAGCGCATACTTCAACATCCGATCCTTTCAGAAATGGACAAACGCAAGAGACAAATGAAAAGCCTGCAAAAACAAAGGAGCGAATGATTCTTTCAGCAACCTAAAACATGAACAAACTGCCATGTTTAACTATTATCATCAACTTTTGGACTATTATGAACTTGAAATGATGGAATTGCTTTAACAAGAGGCTACATGTGCTGGTAAAGATTAAAGATACAGACAAGAGGTTTGCACTGACTGTAGACTATATGTTGCGTGTTGTTTTTGAACCCGAATAAGGACTAAATGTATGCTGTATGTAGTTATTATGTAATTGGTAACATATCGGAGACTTTAAAGGTCTGTATGTGTTCAAATATGTTGCATTTATTTTTTATTTATTTTATATAATCGCAGATGTTGCAGTGGGCTATCTTGCACTGTCATTGATCTGCAGGTATAATCAAACCAGATTCATAGAAAGGTTATTCAAGAGTTCCCACTTAGATATGCTTAGCGTTTATAGCAGGTTTGGCTTGCTGTACTGGGAGAGAACCCTGAGCTCGGAGATATTTGAGCCCATGGCTCCCGCCCGGTCAATAAGCAAATCGGGAAATCCGAGATCAGGTAGATCTCGAGAGCTCGCCCTTTAAATAGGGAGGAAAAAGGAGGAGATGAGGTGGAAGGGGGGATTCTTTCAAAACGAATATAGAGCAGTAGGAAGAAAACAATCCATTTATTGTAAACTAGAATCACTCTGATTGGATTATTACTGATTACAGATGTGCAGCCGGCTCAATCATATCACGTGCTCCACTCAAAATTAGTTTATGAAACTTCACATAATGAACATTTAAACACAAGTATTTATATGTATAAAGCATCTGTTTTCTGAGAGGAGCTTCTCATTTGACATGTGAACGACCCGTACAGTTTACTGTAGACATTTCCTTGAGCGAAAATGACGTGGTCTGAAACATTGTCGAACACCACGCCCACCATTGGTACCCTTTTGGCAGTGGAAACGTAAGCCTGATAAAGGTGACCAGTACCGACCCATACCATACTGTACTGTACCTCTCAGAGGAAACGGTTCATAACTGAACAGTCACATCATTGATAACATAAGCGTGCTCGGGCTCGGAAGGTAAAATTGCAGTGTGAGTTCAGACCGAGGGGGAGAAGGGATGGGGGACCAGTGAACCCGGGCACAGTTCAAGACAACCGTGCCTAATGTGAATAGACCTTTCTCACACTATTGATATGTGTTGGGAAACATGAAGGAATTGTTTGGAAGCCCGTATTTTTTACAGTACAAGACTAATTTATCATGTTACTTCACCCTATTTAGTAAGCCTGGTCCTTCTTAAAACATGTGCTTTTTAAAAAACAAATAGCAGTTGCTTTGATAACTTGCTTCTAAACACTTTTAGGGGCTTCTGCTAACAACTAACAACTTCCTCTACTTTACAACATCTGTGTGAATCCTCCGCACGACTGATTTAGACGTGGCCATATTGCATTTAATTGAGTTTCCAGGAGGGAATTTCTCATGTTAAGAGTAAGATGCAATCAGAGGACTAGAATTATTGCACTGTAACTCAATTACAGCACAGTGAAAAAAGAAAAAGAAAAGGGATTTCCTTTGAGCACGCATGGAAATGAAGAAAAGCACGCTCTTGTTTTTTTTGGTTATTGGTGTCACATCAAAGAGATTGATTGAGCGGATGGCTGTGTGTTTGGTTTGTGTGTGTAATTTTCATGTAGATGAGCCTCATCTGTAGTGTATAAGCGCAGGCGTTGAGCTGCAGCTGGTGTGATGATGTGTTTGATAGGAAAACGCTTTCACTCAAAGCTTCTGTTGTTCCTCTTTTTTTCCCTCCCTGTCTGTCTTTTATCCCTTTCTCTTTTGTCCGAAAGGTGATATCATGCACACATACGCACACACACAGGACGCTTTACCTCCTCACACAATACAGTCTTTTTACTCTGCTAAATATTGTAGATCATCCTTCATGAGGATATTTTTCTCATTTTTCACACCTTTTTCCATCACTTGGAGATTTGCATGGATTTGCAATGAATTTACATTTGGAGAGATTTTGGGATATGAATGAGCAAATCTCAATGGTTGTTTGTTGTCTGCAGTTCTATAAGAAGTACACTCCTGTTTTTTGTGGAGGGGGACGGGTGGTTTGCATGTTAAACAGCCACTTTTTGATAATAAAATCAAATCTGAACAGGATTTTTTTATATATATGTTTTAATAAATGACAATTATTATTTGTGAATTACATTTTTTGCGCAAATACATCAAATTAAAGTCTCATGGTGGTTTTTAAAGGTATAGGAAGATGGAAATGTATGAGGATAGAAAAAAAGTTTAAAAGTAAATCTTTTGTTTGAAAATGTTTGATTTAAACTAGTGGTGGGCCGTCATCGGCGTTAACATGCTGCGTTAACGCAAGTCTCCTATCGTGCAATAATAAAAAAATATCGTTGTTAATCTATTCTCAAAGTTGGGTTGGAAGCTGTGTCTATTCGGTGAGCCGTCTGACAAAAAAGTGCCCTTCTGAATGAATTTGGCAGGATGCCTGACTTTAACTGTAGTTCGGCAGTTGCACTTTAACTCATGAACTTTTCATTCATGCCCCCGTGATAAACTGTGGTGTTAGACGCAATTAGGAGTAAGGACTGGTGAGAGTGTTATGGAATTTAATAACGCACGCCAAATGGAAAAAAAATTCAGCATTTTGCGATGTGTGTTACCAACACTGTATTTAAATGTAATTTGAATGGTTCTGAGGTTGTGGTAAAGGATTAGGTAGGTTAGGGTGATATTACAGCTTTATATCACACAATCCACATTAAAATTTACACTGATAGTAAAATCTGACAGGTAGCATATTGCATCATCAAAATGTGCTACCTACTTTTGAATGGGAGGTAGGACAATCTGACAAGGTAGGACAAATCAACAGAACGCCGTCATGTAGGACTTTTCCTACAGATCCACACACGCGGCAGTCAGTACAGGACCGCACACACACACACACTCATACACTACGGACAATTTAGCCTACCCAATTCAGCTGTACAGCATGTCTTTGGCCTGTGGGGGAAACCAGAGCACCCGAAGGAAACCCACGCGAATGCAGGGACAACATGCAAACTCCACACAGAAACGCCAACTGAGCCGAGGATAGAACCAGCGACTTAGCAACCCTCTTGCTGTGAGGCGACAGCACTACCAACTGCGCCACTGCGTCGCCCTTCTCATGCACTCAAAATACTGTAAATGGAGCATATTTTGTGCAAAGCAATCTAACAAGTGCTTTGTTTTGGTATTGAACAACTTCTTTGCACAGTAAATCGAATTTCTATCTTTTAAAATATCCTGTTGAACTCATGAGGTGCATCACATTATGGAGGTGAAGTGGGTCATGTTAATTGCAAATACATTGAAGAGGAAGTTCAATGACTCAGCAGAAAACAGCGCGAGGACAAAATGAAGAAAAAAACAGGTTAACTAAGCTTGAGATTAGATGCTGCAGAGTTTTTATACCCTTAAAAGAGCAAATGTAATTGTGTTTGTTCTGCATTTATTTATCCAGACCTTGTGTGTTTTGGGATTGTGTGAGCGTATAACCGCTCATTATTCTAAATGACCAATTTTAGCCTTTAAATGTCATCTTTCTCTCTCTTTTACAGGGCGATGCTAGCAGATCAGACACCGATGATGACATGTCGTCTGACTACGGTGATGAGGACAAACTGAGGGAACTGCTGAACTCAGGTCTGTGTGTGTGTATTCGTGTGCAGCTGTTTAGACTGTGTGTTTTGTTACTGTATGCTAATCTTTTTTGTTGATGTTAGGTACAGAGATGAAAATGCAGACATTAATGCCCATCTCTAACGGACACCTGGAGCCTCGGGCATCAATGCCACCTAATAACACACACGTCCAGTTTAACAGCACGCCCAGAACTGAGGTTTCTCACATCTACAGTCAGTCACGGCGCAACAGCAACACCTCCACCGAACTCCATGACCAGAGATCCCTGGTGAGGAGTGTGTGCTGCTACATGCGCACTCAGACAAATGTTTATTACTCGTACAATTTACAAATTTAAAATAAATAATAATAAAAAAATTAAAAATAACAATTATTATTAAACATGATAACAAATAAAACTAACATTTTAAATTTTGTAGGTTTAATATATTTTTTTTAATATTTTTTATTCTGTTTGCAAGAAATTAAGTAAGAATTTTGCAATATAAGAGTTGTAAAGGGGAAAGGTCAATTTAATTTAAGGCAAGGATTTTCTTTGGAAACATGTTTAGTTCAACTGTAAAGGTAATTTTTGTCTGTTATAATATAATTGTTATATGTTAACTTTTTATTTTTTGCATTCTGTGGATCAATCATCCATATAAATTAGGTTAAATTACCATGGTGTCTGATTGATTGATTGATTGATTGATTGATTGATTGATTGATTGATTGATTTGGTAACAATTTAAAATAACTATCCGTTACAACTAGTTAATAGATAATGAATAAACTGTTAGTTAATGGGTTATAAATGACTTGTTAAATAATAGTTAAAAGTTTGTTAATTACTTATAACTATCCGTTATAACTAGTTAATAGATTATTAATAAACTGTTAGTTATTGAGTTATAAATGACTTGCTAAATAAAAGTTAATAGTTTGTTAATTATGTATAACTGTGCTTATAGATAGCCAATAGATAACTTACAAGCTGTTAGTTAAAAATTTATAAATGACTTGTTAACTGTATTTTAATGATTTTTACTTAAACCTAACAAATCAGAAATACATCATGAACCAGCTGTTAGTAAATTATAAAGACTTGTTAAGTATCAGTAAATAGTTTATATATGTTATTGGGACGTTATTCTAAAGTTGCAACTATTCTTCATTGATTAACTTAGTAAATGAGGAATAGTTGCAACTTTAGAATAACGTCCCAATAACATACACAAGCTAATAACTA